CCACCAAAAAATAAAATAAAATATAATATAATTTTAATTCTAGAGATCAGATGCCCTGAAAAACCATTCATTCAAACAGCCACTATGATTATCTTATTGCATGAGACTTAAGTTTGTAACATTTTCACCAACTTCACTGTTAAAGTATGTGGAATGGGCGAGACCTTTGTCATGTGAGAGGGTCTAAACCCACAGCCTTGCTCCACTTGTGCCATTCCCAATACAAATTTTCCATGCACATTTCAGCAGCCTTTGCATCAAGAGCCTTTACGTCCTCTCATGTTCTCCTGGTATCACTAGGAAGGTACCCATGGGAAAGACTTTGCCGTTCACATGTTCTGGGGCCCCACAGAGGCAGCACAGGGCTGAAGTTAGCTCAGCAGCACCTCTTCACCCTCACCCATGGATAATTAAAACGATGAATGGTTTTCAGATCTCTTCTGTAGGGATATTTTTAAGTTTGACAACTTTATCCCTCTCCTGACCTGCTCCACTGCCTTGTCCTTTAATCTTGTCTATAGGTTTCCCCCTTACCACTACTAAATCGTGACTAAAAAAAATTGTTTCCCAATGTTCTGCATATTATCATGAGAAAAATGACCTCAAAAACATCTCAAAGGGCAATTAATTCCTAGGCTACCTTATTCTTATCTACCAAGAAACTATTTTCACCCTCAAATTTTTATAGGTTTCATTAAGAACACATATATTACACATATACATGCATACATACACATACACACACACACCCATTCATAATTTCCTAGGAAAATTTTTTGGCTTTTTGAAACAACAAATTCATACATATGATCCATAGATCTACCTATAAAGTATGTATATGTCAGAAGAATCTCATCTAGGAAATTATCACAGCATTAGAAAACATTCTGAGGCTAGTTATATTCAATTTTGTCAAAATACATTTTAAATGCATTTTTCTTGGGATATATGACATAATATTCTTAAAGCACTGAAATAAATGTGGCACGTATTTGGGAGACACTGTGACACTGACAAATCCCTGAGACAGTATGAACATAGGCAATCCATCTGGAACAGAACTTCCCAGGGCTATGCTGCACATAGCTATTACTGGAAGACTGAACATATTTTCTGCTTACCACTTCCTCTTAAAGGTTACAAGCAAAGATTGAAAATGGTGCTCAGGTTATATAGAAAGTAATGAACCTGAGTCATACTTGAGAACTGGGGAACATGCAAGGTTTTTAAAACACCAACACCTGGGTTTTCAGGCAAGCACTCTCTTCATGATGATGAAGAAAAGAGAATGAGAAGACACAGGTTTATGTCGCTGAAGTATACCTAGCTACCACATTTTAAAATGTTACTATTTTTCTTTGAAACAATTCAGTATGTAGATATGATTTCAAAGTACTACATTAATATACATAATTGGGTACTTCTCCTTACAGTCTCCTCTGCCATTCTCTTACTGAATATAGAAAAAAATCAAGTTAGCAGAAATGTCATGTATTAGTAAGAAAATATAATTTTTAGAATTATAACAGAAAATAACTTTTTTATTTCATTTTAGGTATTTGGTACAGGGATTCACCAGGCAGCTTGGACTTATGGTGATCCTTCTGTTTGCAGCCTCCCCAGTGCTGGGATTATAGGTGTGCACCGCCACACCTGGACTTTGCTCATCAGCTTAGTGCACCCCAGGTGTCCTGACATAGCATATGGGACCAGGGATCAAACTCCGATCCCTGCGCTTGCCAAAGCAGGTGCTTATTCCACTGAGCTATCAGTCCCAGAAAATAATTTTTAAACAAGTAATTTATTTTGTTGTACCCATTTTGAATTGTTAATAGTCATTGTCATTCCAAAGGATTTTTACTTAGCACTCTCAGAATTTTAGGTAACTTCTTAGTGTCTAGAGTGAAATTAATCCTTTATATATTTATTCTTGTTCACTAGATTCTCTAGTCCTTTCATAATCACTATAATCCTAATAATACAATTATTTTTATCCATAATACACTCGAAGGGAGATTCTTACCCCTAAATATAGTAGGATTCCATAGAACATAAATCTCCAGAAAAAGCATCGCCGGAGGGCATTAATAAGTTTTGGATTTTTCTTTGAAACCAACTCTCTATCCCATTCTCTGCAAAGGAATGAAAAATGTGGTCAATAAATTGCATGTGTAAATGTCTGAGTCATCCTATTCTTTTATTTCATTTTCTGAGACAGGGTCTCACTATGTAGCTCATACTGGCCTTGAACTCACTATGTAGTCAGGACTGGTCCTGAACAGTGATCTTCCTGCCTCAGTCTCCTGGGTACTACATTTACAGGTGTGTGCCACCATGTATTTTTTTTAACAGAACTTTGTTTCACATAAGTATATTTGAGAAACGTAACCTAAGTGATTAAGGACAAAATCTATGAAAACTGCAGCACCAACTGCTCACAAACATTTTTGGCAGATTTTGATGCTGCACTATATATTACTCTGAAAGAATTTGGATTCCTGAAAAGCTACATTGTATGTGTTAAAGGAAAAGACCAGGCTTTATAAGAGCAATGGAAAGCTAAAGTATAAGATTAATGGATGCGAACATCAGGCAGCAGTGGGGTCTTGGTGAGTCCAGCCTGTGCCCACCACCTGCACAGAAGCGTTGCTGAGCATCGGACAGTCTCCAGCACCAGTAGCGAGAGCCTTGGTGAGTCCTACTCTGACCCCCACTACAGCAGGAACCTTACTGTCGCGCACGCCACAGCTCTCCCACCACTGCTGAGTGCAGGTAATCACTGAGAGCTTCAAAACTGCCAAAACAAAGGAATAAAAGGCAATCTCAATCCTCTAGCCCACTCAGAACAACTCTAAGATAAGGACATAGAAGAATGTGGAAGTCATACACCTGAAATTTCTGAAATCTAAAGAGAACAATTATATCATGCTATAGAAGAAATCAGATCAGAAATAATCTCTCAGGTGGAAAAGGAAATGACAGCAATCATGAAAGTATTGCTCAGCATATCTAAAGAAGGCATGGATAAAAAAGAGAGGAGAGTAGCAAAATGATGGAAACATTGAACAGACAATGCAGGAAAGATTTAGAATACATGAAATAGATATCTAGGAAATGGAGAATTCCAAGGAAAGCTGGCAAAACTGGTTGAATAAAACTAAAGATAGACTTTCAGACCTTGAAGACAGTGGTGCCGCTAATGAAAGTAAAAGGAAAGGTCCCTTAAGACTAATAAAGAAATAGAAAATAACAATTCAGCAGCCACAAGATGATGCAAAGAGAAATAATTTAAGAATAATAGGTGTCAACAAAAAACAGGAGTCATCACAAATGACATAAAAAGACTATTTGCAGAACTTGCAGCAGAAAATTTCCCAAGCATGAGTAAAGAATCTGACATACAGTTAAGTGAGACATATGAACTCCAAAGAGCCATAATCAAAATAAATCTACATCTAGATACACAATAATCAAGATCTCAGAAATTCAGCAAAAGAACTGTCTCAGTTACTCTTCTCCCATTGCTGGGACAAATACCCAACAGCCAAAATGAAGGAAGGAAAGGTTTATTTGGCTCACAGTTAACTGAAGGTTTCAGTCCATATTCAGCTGGCTCCAAGGCAGACTGGCACATGGCAGAGAGCAACCTTTCAGGGCAGCAGCAAAGAGCAAGAGAGCAAAAGAGAGGGCCAACACTTCAGACAGCTAGCTAGCTTCTCCTCCCTCCTTACATTTCAATGCAAATTAACTGCCCTAGGGCAGGTGCAGCACAATAATCAATATCATCAAATAATCAGTCACAAACTCCAGGAGCTGCCCTGTGACTGCACGAGGCCTTGGGAAGACACTATGCAAAAATGGTAACAGAACAGAATGTGAAAAGCTGTTAGAGAAAAGAAACAGATCACCTATAAATGAAAAGCCCATCAGAATCATGAACAATTTCTCAACACAAGCCTTCAAATCAAGAAGAGCTTGGAGTGAAGTATCTCAGGTCCTGGAAGCAAATAACTTTTAACTCAAATTGATGTGCCCTGCAGAACTACCTATCAAATTCAGTGGTGAGATAAGATTCTTACATGACAAAGAACAACTGAAGTAATTCATGACCTCCAAACCAACCATACAAAGAGTACTGACAGATATTCTAAAAAGAGACAGAAACAACCACAGCTTCAAGAACAACAGAAAGGAGCCACCAAACAGAGTAAGTAATTAAAGAAAGGGGAAAAGTAGGGAACCTACAGCAGGAAAATAACATGACAAAGATAGCCAATATATACCAGTTATAACCATCAATGTAAATGGCCTCAATTCACCAAGCAAAAGAAACAGACAGGCAGAGTGGATTAAGAAACAAAATTCAACAATATATTGTATACAATAAGCACCTTTAACTCAAAAGGAAATTCACAGACTGAAAGTCAAAAAATGAGAAACAATATTCCATGACACAGAAACCCAGAAAAAAGAAGAAGTAGATATTCTGTTGCTGAAGATATGAATTTCAAACTAAAAATGATTCAAAGAGATAAAGAAGTCACTACATACTTGTTAGGGGAAAACTGCAAAAGGAAGAGAGCATAATCATAAATATATATGCATTCAATGTAGGAACACCCAAAAACATAAGATAAATTTTAACAGATTTGAAAAATCAAATCAGTAATAATACAATTGTAATGGGGGACTTTAACATGCCACTGTCACAAAGAAGTAGATCAATAGGCAAAAACTGAGCAAAGAAATAACAGAACTAAACCAAACTTGCAACGAAATGAACTTAGTAGACTTTTAAGAGTGCTTCACCCAGTAATGTTAGAATACACATTCTTCTCAGCTGCACATGGGACATCCTCCAAAACAGACACACACTAGCATATAGAGCATACTTAAGCCAAAGCAAAGGAATTGAAATTATCCCATGCATATTGTCTGACCATAAAACAATGAAACAGAAAATTATTCATAGGAAAAAAACAGAAGAACACCATAAACACATGGAAATTAAATAACAACTTCTTGAAGTTACAGAGGAAATTAAAGAAGAAATTAGGCAATACTTATAATCAAACAAAAATGCAGACACAACTTACCAGGATACAATGACAACTGTCTTAAAGAAAGAAATTTATAGCAGTAAATTCATACATTAGGAAAACAAAAAAGCCCAACTATATGATTTTATACTGAACCTTAAGCTCCTAGAAAACGAAGACATCATCAAGCTCAAAGCCCAAAGAAGGCAACAAATTATAAAGAGTGGAGCAGAAATTTATGCAGTGGAGATGAAGAAAACTACAAAAAATTAATGAAGCAAAGAATTGTTTCTTCGAAAGAAAAATTAAAATTGATAAACATCTAATCAACCTTATTAAAAAAGGAGAGAAAAAAATCAAATTCATGCAATAAGAAATCAAAAGGGTGAAATTACTACAGACCTTATAGAAATTCAGATCATCAGTACCTATTTCCAGAATCTTTACTCTCACAGGATGGAAAACAAAGAAAATGCATTTTCCTAGATATATATGAATTGCCAAAGTTAAATTAAAAAGATAACAAACTCTAAATAACCCAACAATAGGAAGCAAAATTAAAAATATTATTAAAATTATTAAAATCCTGCAAACAACTTAAAGCTCAGGCCCTGATGGATTCACAGGTGAATTCTATAAGAAGTTTAGGGAATTGGCTTTCCACATGCCAAAGGCTAAAATTAGACCCATGTCTATCACCATGCACTAAAGTACAGTCAAATATCAAAGATTTAAACATTAAAACAGAAACACTAAATCTCTTGGAGGAAAATGTAGGTAGAAATCTTAAAGACACAGGGATAGGTAGAAAGTTCATAAATAATCATCAATGATATTGGAAGAGAAGCCATTCTCCTCAACTCATGCCTGGAGGCAAGCATTATTCTGAAACCAAAACCAGAAAAAGACCCATCTAAAAAAGAGAACTAGGGGCCAGGGAGATGGCTCAGAGGAATAAGCGCTTCTCTGACAAGTACAAGGGCCTGAGTTCAATCCCTGGTTCTGCAAAAAAAAAATAAAAAAAAATAAAAAAAATAAAAATCTAAAAAAGAGAACTATAGTCCAATCTCTCTAATGAACACAGATGCAAAAATCCTCAATAAAATACTAGCAAACAGAATGCACCAAATCATCAAAAAGATTATACACCACAACCAAATGAGACTCATCCCAGGAATGCAGGGATTGTTTAATATATGAAAATCAATAAATGCAATACAACACATCAACAAAGCCAAAGACCAAAAAAAAAAAAAAAAGATAATCTGAATAGATGCAGGAAAAGCTTTTGACAAAGTCCAACACTCATTCATGATAAAAACCCTACAGAAAATTGGAATAGAAGGTCTATATTTCAACATGAAAGAAGCCATCTACGAGAAACTAACAGCCAACATCATGTTAAATGGACAAAAAAGAGAAAGCCTTCACTTTAAAATCAGGAACAAGACAAGGATGTTCACTATCTCCACTTTTATTCAATATAGTTTTTGAAACATTATCCAGAGCGATCAGATAAGAGAGAGAAATAAAAGGAATACTGATTGGAAAGGGAAAATTGAAATTATCGTTATTTGCAGATGACATGATGCTCTATATAGAAAACCCCAAGAAGACCACTGAAAGACTTGTATATTTGAAAACTAAATTTAGTAGCACAGCTAGATACAAATTCAATACTTAAAAATCAGTAGCATTTTTGTACACAAACAACAAACACACCTAAAGAGAAATTAGGGAAACCATGCCATTCACAGTAACATGCAAAAAAAAAAAAAAAAAAAAAAAAAAAAAAAAAAGAAATACTTAGGAATCAATCTTACAAAGGACATAAAAAATTTATACAGTGAAAATTATATTATTCTGAGAAAAGAGATCAAGGAGGATTTCAGAAAATTGAACAGTATTCCTTGCTCCTGGATAGGAATAACTGACCTTGTGAAAATGGCCATACTCCCAAAATCATTAGACAGATTCACTGAAACCGCAATTAAAATGCCATTAGTATACTCAAAGAGCTACAAAAAACATTCCTAAAATTCATCTGGAAGAGAAGAGGCCTAGAACATCAAAAGCAATCCTGGGAAACAAAGGAAAAGTAGAAGGCATCACAATCTGTGACATGAAATTATACCACAAAGTTACTGTGACAAAATCAGCATGGTACTGGCATAAAGACAGACCAGAGGATCGATGAAACAGTTAGAATTACCGACACAACTACAAATACATTCAGTCATATTATCTTTGACAAAGGTGCCAAATATGTTCACTGGAAGAAAGATATCCTCTTTAATAAATGGTGCTGGAAAAATTGGCTTTCCACATGCCAAAGGCTAAAATTAGACCCATGTCTATCACCATGCACTAAAGTACAGTCAAATATCAAAGATTTAAACATTAAAACAGAAACACTAAATCTCTTGGAGGAAAATGTAGGTAGAAATCTTAAAGACACAGGGATAGGTAGAAAGTTCATAAATAAAAACCAAACTGCACAGGAAATACTTCAAAGAATCAACAGGGATCTCATCTTTTTGAAGTTTTTGCATATCAAAAGAAATCACTATCAGAGTAAAAAGAAAACCCATAAACTGGGGGAAAAATTGTATCCAATTGCCCCTCTGACAAAAGTCTTCTATCTAGAACACATAAAGAATTTTTTAAAATAAGGCGCCAAAATTCAAAGACCCAACCCCAAAACAGGCATCTGAGATGAATATACACTTCTCAGATAAGGAAATACAAATGGCAAACAAATATATGAAAAATGCGCAACAGTATGGGTCATTCGAGAAATGTTTTCTGTAGAATGGAGACAATGACACTTGCTCTTCAGAGTGGCCAAGGAGAGATGTTAAGCTTGACATGTAATTGGAAGCAAAAATAATGAAATTTTTGTATTTCTTTGACATCCAATAGCCCCTACTTTAAGACTTCCCTTTGGCACATTTATCTCCACATGTTAAGATTTTATGAGTAAATCTATCTCATGCTCTTTAAAGACAGGTAAATTCTCAGAACACAAATATGTCTTTTTCAACTGTAAGAAGGCAAGTCTCAAGAAAATTATTTCTTTCCTTTGTGGTTTCATTATTTAATTCTTCAATCAGTCAAGATTTCAGCAAAAATATAAAATGTTCCTATCTTAACTAGCCATTAGAAATAGGCCCTGTAATATGGGTGTGTGGTGATCATGCAGTGTCTGTATTGGCTATCATCTGAGAAGAAAAAGCACAGCCAAGTGCTTTTCTATCCTCCAAATAATTAATAGTATGAATGTATCACTTCAACTAATAAACCATGATAATACCTTTCCAACTTTTCAGATAGATTGTCAGCAGAATCAGCAGAAGGGATTTGGTATATGTCTGATAATTCCAGGCGCTTTCTGTACCCTTTCTTCAGAATTGGTCTTGTCCAGCTAAAACAGAAAAAGGAGGGGCAGGTATAAATAAACAATTTGTTTGATTGCCAATACAGATTTGGAATCTGACACCAGTTCAATCTTTTGGCATGTTGAAGATATTGTACACATGCAATTGTATGAATATGAGAAGAAAAACCAACTTATATAAATGCCAAGATGCATATTTTAAAAGACACATCTGTACAAAGTACCAGAAGTTCTGAAATAATGTGACTGACATTTTGTCAGAATGGATAAGAAAAATGGTAACTCTTTCCCAAGGGAACAAGCAGATTTCTAAAAAGATATTTAATCAAGACACTTTTATAACAGTATTACAATAACACAAGGTACTCAGTAATAGACTATTAGCTAAATGAATCGACTAAGCCAGAGTGTGCATAGTTTGCATCAGTTTGTTGGATTAATTGTCATGCCTGAAATCTATACTTGAGGTTACGGATCATTAACTTCTTAAGTCTTACCTCCTCATTCTGCACCAGTTCCACATTTCTTTCCTTTAGGCATCAAATTAATAACAATTTACTATAGGAATTAATGAAGCTGGTACAGCAAGGTACTCTGGTATTTTCAAGTATGTTCTTTCTAATCACTATAGGTAAAGCAGTGTAATTTTGACAGAAACAAGATAACCTAAATAGGAAAAGGAAGAAAAAAGGGAAGGAGATAGAGAATTATGAAGTAAATATATCATCTGCAAAGGGATACTTCTAAATGAAATTTGAAATTTTGGGTGAAATTTCACGTACTTCTTGAGGAAAGAAATAAAATTTGAATTTAAGGAATCACAAATCTATACTTTCCTGTTCAGCAACTTTCTTTGCTCCAAAGAATTCTAACAGTCAATGCCACTGATACTATTTGGTATGCTAAGCCACTGAAAACAGAGGCAAGATAAATTCGTGAAAGTGAAAACATTTGTTTTTTTTTTAAATTAACGTATATCTATGGTACCAAGAGAATATTTTCATGTGTGTACTTTGTATGTGTATAATAGGAAAACTTTTTTAGCAAAGCCACTCAGAATACAAGAGAACTGTTATGTCAGTACAAACATTTTGATACATTTCCAGCAAAAAGTCTTGCAGATGGACTTCATTTCCACTCCCATCACTCCCACAAAAAGGTCCAGATTCCACTTCCTTTATTGCCAATTTCTTCTGTAGGCTCTACTTTTTGTTCCTGTTTGCACAATTTTTCTTTCATTCAGATTTACCTGAATTAGGGTCCAGTTCTAAAGCTAAATAACTTCACCAATCTTTTCCTGCTGAGATATGACTATTGCTTGATACATCACTTTTCCCTATTAACAGGAAATTTGCATTTTATCAAGAGAATTATTTAACAACAGGTGGTAATTAGGTTTATTCTTTATTAAATAATGGATGATCAGTGATTATCCATTGATCACTTTTCCTGGAAAACAATAATGAAAATACATGAGCCCTGTCTGAACCCAAAAGGAAAAGGAGTGTGGTGATCATGCAGTGTCTATATTGGCTATCATCTGAGAAGAAAAAGCACAGCCAAGTGGCTCCCCACCCCTGTAGCCAACAGACTGGCTGGAAAGCGGGAGATGCAGGTGGCAGTCAAGCTAGGAAAAACCTGAGACAGCAATTTAGAGTATGCCTTAGCAAGCTTTTGAAAACTAATGTGTAGAAGTTCAAAGGTAAATCTAGAGTTTACAACTAATAAAAACTGTGTGCACATAGCCTTTCCCAAACAGCTTTCGATATATGAGAAATATAACTGCCAGCCTGCTAGATGTGCCCAGTCCATGTACCCTAAAATCAAAAAATGAATTCCAAGTGACAACAGAGGTCAAGAGTAGGAAAGATATATTAAGAAATAGATCCTGAGAGACAGAGGGGTATAGAAAATGAGTTGCCACCAAGGCCCTTTGTCAGGGGTGATTTATACAGCAAAGTCACTGTGTGGGTACAACATGGGTCAGACTTCAACCAACCTGTAGTATGACAAGTACAGCCACTTAATATCAGTCCAGTAGGGAAGCAGGTCACCGTGCAGCACGGCCACAGGGAAAGCACACAGGTAGTTCTGGAAAGCAATGGGTCTCGATACTCTGATCTCCCACCTGGGTGACTGATGCCAGGACTCCCATCTGGAGTTCGAAGACCAGGTGGAGGTAATTCCAGTATAATCCCAAGTTACCTTTACCCGTAGGGAGCCACATAGGCCTGGCCATGCTTCTGCGTCCCAGGGCCTAGGCTCCTGCAGTTGTGCCTCCAGCTACAAGTCTCATCGCTTTAATTTTGTGCTCACTCCCTTTAGAGCCTACTCTCTTTCTGGCTCTAAAGAAGTGTATTAACTTCTATCTAGCTTAGCTACCTCCAATACTTTCGCCATCTATGAGCACATTCTAACTTTTATTTAAAAACTTTCTCAAGTAGGAAGAACAAAAAAGAACCTATTTTAAGGTAAAGAAATGGTGCTCAGAGATACTAAACTGGTGTGAATTACTAACTGGAAAAGCCTAGACTTTTCCACAATCTGCCTTCACTATCACCTTTACCATGCTTAGTCTCCTCAATTCAATAAAATGAATTATGGTGAATTATGTCAGTGTAGGGGAGACCGGAAAGCAGGACCCTAACAGCTGCACACAGTGGTGTTATGCAATGAGCTAATAGTCAATAATCTCTAGCCCGTAAAATAAAGTAAAAAGCTTTTATTATCCATCTACCGTGGCAAAAATAATCTCACCATTTCAAGCTATGAAATATGAAGTCATTAAACTCAGAGTTTGGAAGAGATAAACAATTACTTATTATAATACATCCACTACTCAGATACAGTGAACACAAATAATCTCGAAAGTACAAATAATAAAACTCAGAAAATTATAACTTTTGAGTTTTTATTACTATTGTTTCAATATAATTTATTTAATTATAGGTTTAAATAATTTGATGTTTAATAATGGCTGTCTTTAGCAACAAGTCACAAATTTACTGAATATTCAATAATTAGCTCAGTAAGGAAAATCCAACCAGAGCAGATCACTGAGTACCAGACGTGTAAAAGGCTTAGAATAAACACATGCTGCCCTAGTGGAAGGAAAGGGACTTGCAGAAGATTTAATAAAAAGAAGTGTGTTCTACCCATAGTGAAGGTGGTACTTTCAATGTGCTTTAAATTATTAAACTATAACCCTAACTTTACAAGTGAACAGTATTTCACTACCACTATTATAACCAAAAAGGCATTTTCAGAAATTGAGAATAAATTTTAATCTCTTTCTTAGAGACTGAAATGCATAAACGCAACTCTCTTTGTCTATATCTGACAATTCCCATGTGTACGTGTTCAGCTCACTTCAAACTAACATAATTTGTGTGCTACTTTTATAAAAAGCTTTCTGAATTCTCTGTATCCATTTTAAGAAGTTATGTTACACTGTGACATCTAGTTTTGATTATCAAGAGTGCTGCAACCTAGCATCGTCAAACCAAGCAAAATTCAGCAGTATAATCACCCAGGTAATGTAATTATTACCATTATTTAATATTTCCTGGTAGTTTCACCACAGTAAGCCTGTTTTGTGTCCTGAAACTGAAATTTCATCTAAGGTAAAGTATGAATGATAAAATTCATTAATTTTAGGGTGACTGAAATCGCCACAGAATCAGAGAAATATTTTATTCTGTGAGTTTAAGCCAATGAAACTGAATAAAATTTCTGCCCTACCAAGAAGCTCCCCATTTTTGGCCTCAGACCAGGCATTTTTTATAAATACAAAGCAAGGGAAACAAGACAGCTATACTTAGATACTTTATGAAATATTAACTTATGCAACCCCTCTTCTTTTGAATAATCCTGCATATACGCAACAGACTTGGGCAGAATTTAAGAGTTCCTGATCAGGATTTCCCCTCCACAATTTCTTCTACCAGAAATCAATGAGACAATGTAGGTTGACCATGAACAACAAAACTCCATGAGCTTTTGCCCAGCTTTCCCCATCCCTTCCACACACCTGCTATCTTTGCCTCTCACCTTTAAGTGACTGAATTTTAACATCACTTAGAACCAGGTAATAATCATGGACAATGGACTTATAAACTGTTCTACGTAGCAATTGTGATACTTCTCAAAGTTCTACCTATTTTCAACAGAAGCCAGATATTTATTAATTACGAAGTAGAAGGGAAAGTTTAAAAAAATTGAGATATGTTATATACTGATTTCTCACATGAACGTAATCACCATGCAGTGCAAATGTGTACTAACAAAACCTATTTTTTAATTATGAAAATAGCAGAGACTCAATGTAGATGGATGTTTAGAACTTGTAAATTTTAAACTAACTGATAAAAAAGAAGTCCTAACATCCCAGATAGCACTGTTCCAGTCACTTAACTAAGAGAAGTTTGGGAGTTTACTACAGAGAAAATGTTATTGATTTTGAGGCACACACACATAACACTGTTTTTGTTTTATTTCTTAGAATACAACTTTCAATTTTGTGTAGAGTGCCTTATAATTCGTTATGATAAAAAGAATTTGATAATATTAGCCATGGTTACAAATTTAATTTTCATAAAGCATGTCCTCCTAAAACCAGTAATTAAAGTTTATAGTCCATCTTATTTGACATTTGACTTTTATTAATAGAACAGAGCACCTGACATTTTCATTTACTAAAACTTAAGATGAAGGTATCACATATCAGTCCTTTTCAAGTCAAAATAATTTTGTTTGTATAAAACAATCATGCTTCCACAGTATTTAGCGTTACTTTTTATTTAACTGGCCAAATAAAATGAAATAAGATAGCAAATGCAAACCACCACTGCATGACACTTTTCATAAAAACTGACACATTAATAAACCTCATAGCCTTCTTCCTTTATTTGTAAAATAATTAAAATTTAAAAGACTAAGTAGAAATTAAAGTCCTCTAGGTAGACAGGTTCAAATGCATTTAGAAATTGTCTTATAACCTTAATATATTGACCAAGAATTTGAAAAAG